CCAAAGGCAGACAGTCAACCAACTGTACCACCCAGGTGCCCCAAGTATTAGATACACTGGACAAGGCTGAGATAGATATATTTTATGATGCTAATGTAGTGTCTTTAACATATTGATATTTTTAGTGAAGAAGAGAGATGGAATATTGTGTTAGGCATCTCCAAGATGTTCCCAGTGACTGCCACCACCTGGTATTTACACCCTTGCATAGAACTTCCTACACCGGGGGCGCCTGGGTGGATCAGTTGGTTAAGTGTCTGCCTTTGGCTCAAGTCATGACCCTGGAGTCCTGGGATGGGGATAGAGGCAGGGAGCCTGCTTCTCCTTCTGTCTGCCACTCTGCCTGCTTGTGTTCTCTCTGACAAATAAATAAATAAAAATCTTAAAAAAAAAAAAAAACTAACTATACTGAATAGGACTCACTTGTGTAGCAACTTCCAAGGCTAATGTCATAAAAGACATTGTAGTCTCTTCCTTGTTATCACTGATTGACTCACTACGGGGAAAACTAAGTTGCTATGACATGAGGAAATACTTAAGAAGTCCTATGGTAAGAACGCGAGGTTTCTAGCGAACAGCCATCAAGGAAAAGCCTCCTGCAAATGACCCGTCCAGCTCCACTCCATACTCCGCAGTCAAATTTTTCAGATGACTGCAAGCTCGTGCGAGACCCTCTTCCAGAAGCACTCTATTAAGCTACTCATAGATTCTCGACTTTTTTTTTTTCAAGTAGACTCCATGCCCAATTTGGGCTTGAACGCATGACCCTGAGCTTAAGTCGCATGCACAGGTGCCTGGGTGGCTCAGTTGGTTAAGCAACGGATTCTCAATTTCTCTTGATTTTTGCTCAGGTTGTGAGATTAAGCCTTGATCTGGCTCTGCACTCAGCGGGGAGTCTACTTGAGGTTCTTTCCCTCTGCGCCCCCCAAACCCCGCCCATTCCCATGCTCTCTCTCATTCTCTCAAATAAATAAATCTTAAAAAAAAAAAAAAAAGGTCACATACTCTACTGACTGAGCCAGCCAGGTGCCCCAGCTCTCAGATTCTTGACCCACAAAAACCCTATGAGATAATAAATGTTTACTGTTTGAAGCTACTAAAGTTGAATACTTGTTAAGCAGCAACAGATAACTAATAGATTGTCAGTTAATTCCTTAGAATGATCTTTATAAAACATAAACCAGATAGAGAACATCTCCCTAACTAAAATGCTTCAAGGCTTCATGTTCATGGACTAAAACCTAAACTCCACGCTATGGTGTATAAATTCATTCATGCTCTTGCTTCTGCTTATACATTTTTACCCTCACCTGGTTCCATTCTCCACCTACTTAAAATCACTGGACGCCTCTGAGATTATTAAAGAATATACTCTCTTCTTTTACCTTTGTATTTGCTGTTTTCTCTGCTTAGGAATGCTCTTCCCTGCATTCTTGAGAGTATTCTTTGCATACTTGGCTCTTTTTTGTCACTCAGTTCTCAGCTTAAATGTTCCCTCCCCAGAGAGGCCTTCCCTGATGACCTGATCATGAGAACGCTCTGGAAAATTCCCACTAAACAGAGGAACAAGATAAGGTTAGGCCATATTTAAAGCCACATAAAACTGGAGTTAGCCTGTTTGACTAATTGCATTAAATGAAAAGAAAGAAATTAATATAAAATTTGGAAAGGAGAATACAAATTTGTCACTATAGATTACACAAGTGTACTTCTGATACACAAGAAAAATAAACTGGAAAAACAAGAAACATGTAAACTCTAGAAACAAAACATTAAAACTGGCTCAGTTGGCGGAACATGACTCTTGATCTCGGGGTTGGGGTTCTCTACACGTTGAGTGTAGAGATTCTTTAAAAAAAAAAATCAAAATACCTCTGAAGGACAAAAGAAGGCATTAGCTAATAGAGAGGTATACTACCTAGGATAGAAAGACTAAACATCAAAGAGAAGTAAATTCCCCAAATTTTCTGTGCAATATGGTTCCAATAATAATACCAATAGGACTTTATTCTTGCAATTAGACAATTATTAACTCATGGAAAGATAAAAAAGGCAAGAAAAGTCAAGAAATTTCTGAAGAATTGAAATAAGGAATTAGCTCTATCAGATACAAAAACCTAAATAATTAATTTGATGCTTTACAGGAGACACAACATTGGGATAACAGAACTGAAAATCTACTAACATAAACAAATACAAATCAGTGGAGAAAAGATGGACAATTAAGTAAGTGGTGTCGGATGGCAGGGTAGTCATCTGAAAAAAATATAAGTTGTTACCAATATTCTACACACACAAAATGAATAAAATAAATGCAGAAAAATGAAATTAAAATACAACAAAAAGAAAATGGAAGATTTATAAGCTAGAAGTGCTAGATTTTTCTAATTAAGACACAATATACTAAAATCATTAAAGAACAGATGAAAAATATTTTTCATCTATAAAATATTTCCCCAACTTTAAAAAAATATTTTAAATATAAAACTTCATTTAAAAAATCTGAATGTTAAAAACAATGACAAACTGTGGAAATCCATCTGCAACTTTTATCACAAATGTCAATTTTCTAAAGAGGCTCCCATAAAATCAATGGAAGACTATTAATCCATAGAAAAATGGGCAATCTGTACATTATTTCCTACTTTAAAATGCTTTGGAATCAACCGTATTTCTTTTGCAAAAGAGTAAACAAAACAAAAAATAAACATCACTGGCGATTGTTTAGAGATATCTTCACCCAAGCTATTACACATAGAGGCTGCCTGATATGAGTGCTTTGTGGGGACTAAGAAAAGGATGTACTTTCATAGCTGAGTTAACACAGTGTGGAAAGCAGTGCATGATAGGACAAGAGATTGATCCATGAAATAAGGAAACAATAGTTCAAAACTAGTTGCGGAGCATTTTAAAGAAATTTCATTTAGCTCTTGAGAGGCAAGGTGACCCCAGCAAATATATGTGTTCCTGGAGGGTAAAGTAAACGGTAGCCAGCAAGCCTAGTCTCAAACTGGCTGATAGAACTCTGGGCCAGTTTCTTTCTTTCCATCTACAAAATGAAATGACTGGTAGATCTTAATTCATGTTTGCATCCCCACTATGTGGCCTAGGGCCTGGCAATCAATAGAAAGTAGACAACAAGCACAAGTTTCTTCACTTATTTTTCTTGTTCTGAAATGGGTTTTTTTCTGTTGCTGTTGTTCTAAAATTCACACATTATAACAAATTGAAGGCAGTTTATCTTAGTTGGTAATTGATTCTATTTCATATAATAGAAAACCCGCAAATCACTGGTTTTAAAAAAGTAAAAAAAAAATTGTTTCTCTCCCATGTTAAAGAAATTCAGATTTAAGAAGGGCTGAGGTTGGTATGGCAGTTTTACTGGTATCACCAAGAATTTGGGCTCCTATATTTCTTCCCACTACCCTAGTACGTAGCTTCCACTATCACGTCAATTTAGGCTTCCAGATGGCTGCTGGAGCTCCAGCCATTAAATCTATGTTCTATAAATGTTGCGTGAAAGGAGACAGACACAAAAGAGCATATACTATATGATTCTAGTTATATGAAGTTCATTAAAAAACAAAAACAAATGTTATGGAGATAAATGTCAAAATAGTAGTAATCATTATATGGAATTACTGACTGAGAGGGGCGATGAGGGAGCCTTCTGGGTGCCTAAAATGATTATATCATTATCCAGATAGTGTTATACACATGAAGAATAACCTCAATAGATACATTTAGGATTTGTGCACTTGACTATATGTAAGATAACTAAACAAGGGAAATCCCAGATCTCTGAGCTTATGTGTATTTTGACAAGACTAGACTTCAATCTATCTCCAGACAGACTGAAGAAATGAGGCATCCTAAAGTATTCAGTGTTCAGAGTGCAGCTCTTGTGCTTGTAACTGCTGTCACCTCCCAAAGTTGGAAAAGTAACTAGGACAAATAGTCTACTACTAGAGTAGCTACGGGTGTGGCAATTGTCTTGCTTTAGGAATACCCGAGTTTAAATCCTACCTCTGGCGGAAAAAAAAAAAAAATCCTACCTCTGTTTTGCATTTGTTTTTCTCCAGAAGATGTATGAAAATAGTGACCTTTACCTTATTCAAAATCATAATGGAGTCCTTGTGTGAGGATTTATGAGGCAATGTATATCAAGTTCTTAACATAGTGCCTGATACGTAATAAAAGATAGTTGCTATTATTTTATTACCATTGTTGCCATCATTATCATTAAAAACTTTTTTTTTTTACATCATCATCATTATTAACAAATGATGGAACAGGGATCTCAAATGATTCTATGGTCAAAAATTCCAAATCAACTCGTTAATATCCTTGTGTGGATATGAATATCCTATTGAATATATACATTTGGCTATGAACTTGGTTTTCACTTGAGAACTTCCTAAAGAAGCTGAATACAGCTCTTCTTATGGTTCTGCATGTTTAGAAAACTCCAAGTAGGAAAAAAAAAAAAAGAAAGAAAGAAAGAAAAGAAAACTCCAAGTAGTCATGGGAACAGTTTTGGGAGTATGTCATAAAAAATTTAGTTTTTTTTTTTTTTTTAATAAAAAATTTAGTTTTGCCCTCAGAATCGTATGACCCTCATTAAGGTGGTCCTATGGATAATGACTTGGGAAATAATCACAAAATACAGAGACACAGAAAAGCTATAAAACAGTATGAACAGTTCAGTACCATTTATTTATGCTATCCTGTTATAACTGCATTAAAAGATCTTGAAAAGTACACAAGAAACTGGTAAAAGTGGTGACCTTGGGGAGATGAAGATCATTTGGTAATAATTGTGAACTTTTGTTCATTTAACATAAAAAGCCCAGGCTAAGATAAATCATTTCCTTATTATTTCCCAGGGAATAATGAGAGTTGATACTTTTCTAATCCACATTTTCAGGGAAAGTAACTTGATTAATTTTGTATGTGGAATAAATTCATTTTTGAAAAAAGCATAAGTACAAAATACTTACCCACTTTGCAATTGGACACCCGTGAGAGCTTTTTCCTTCTTTTCCCGTATACACTACAATTTCTATCCTTACTGCGTTTCCTTTTTGACCATACCTGAGTACAAAACACAGTGGAGGGAAAATAATTGCAATTAATGGCGATACACCCTTTTAACATCTTAAGGTACAGAAGATACAGATTTACAGAAGTACAGAAACCCAACACCCCAATTGTTAAAATTTACATTTGTTAAAAATTTACTTTTGTGTGGCAAATATTTTTATTTGTTATCCCATTCTGTTTACTTATCCTTAAAGATCACTCATTTAAAAAATGGACTGGCTCCAAGACAAGCTTAAGGGATGTGAATGCAGTGTTGTTGGAGGTAATTTTAACTATTTCTACCATTATACAATGATATCAAAATAAGTATTTCTGGATTTAACAAAGACAGCCTTGCTTTGTGAGTGTCTTGTTGAGTGCCCAAAGGCTCATGTGATGAGCGACTTAGCAGGGACACCAGGACACTATTCTTTTCCTGGGCCCTAAGAAACATCCGAATTATACTCCTGAAGGCTTTCCATTCACTTCTCATTTGTTCCCAGAGATCAGTCTCTCTGCATTGAGTCAGGTGCACAATAATGAATGATTTTAACAGGGAAGGATATTTCCTCACCTATTCTCCATGATTTCCCTGACAGCAGCAACACTTGGTCCTGCCCCAAGGTGTGTATAATATGGGCCTTTGTCTTTTTGTATAACTCGATCTGTGGAAGGAATAAGATTATTAGACCCAAAGCTATACAGAATTGCACAGGGGCATGGAGGAGCTATTTTTATTAATTCTTTTTTTTCTTTTTCAATTCAGAACAATTTATCCTGACAAGGTTTTGGTAAACTTTAATAATTAAAGTCTAGGACAATAGGCCCTAGAATTTAACTTGTTCCTTTCTTGAGGCTCCTAACTATCTCATTCTTCCTCTAAGCATCAGAGGAGGAAAACAAAAAATTTTAAGATGTGGGTCATATTTATTCTCCTATCTCCTGCTTTAAAAGAAATCTTTTAATAATTGAGGTGCAAAATTAGAAGTTTTCTAAGAGCAATACATCTTTAAAAGCTGGGCCTCAGAATCTTATTAAAATTGAGCCTCAGCAATTGCACTGCTAAGAGTTTATCTACTATACGCTCACATAATTATATATTTGTAATGCAAAGGTACACAGGAATGTTACTTGTCACAATTATTTGTAATATCAAAAAAGAAAGAGAGAGAAACACACTTAGCATCTGTCACTAAATGCTAGGGTGAATAAATTAAGGGATGTTTATATAGAGGAAAACAATAAAACTATTAAACTAATATTTACAAACACTGGGCGCCTGGGTGGCTCAGTCAGTTAAGGGTCTGCCTTCAGTTCAGGTCATGATCTCGGATCCTGAAATAGAGCCCAGGTCAGGCTCCCTGCTCCGTTTCCTGGCTCTACCTTTGCCCCCACCCCCTGCTCATACTCTCTCAAATAAATAAATAAAATAGCTTAAAAAAGAACCCAATATTTACAAACATGGAAAAACCTGAGATCTCATTAAATTTTTAACAAAGCGAATTGCAAAAATAGTGTATTTTAAAAGACTTAAATTTTCTAAAACTGCAAGCAAAATGAAAATAAGTAATAACATTAATTCATATAAAAAACTCTAACAGAGGTTTTATCTTTAGAGAATGGTACTGCAAGAAGACATTTGCATCATATTTCTCTATTATTTGAAATTTTATTTTTTAAATTTATCGTTATTATTTAAAGATTTTAATTTTAAGCAATTTCTACACCCAATGTGGAGCTTGAAATGACAATCCTGAGATCAAGAGTCACATGCTCTACCAACTGAGCCAGCCAGGAGCCCCTGTATTATTTGAAATCTTATGTCTGTGAATTACATATTTCTCAAAAACAGTATTCTTAACTTGGCCTCTTAGAATCATGTCTAACTAGAATAGCTGAGTAATGTATTTCTGGCCATGGTGCACCTATAGCAAAAGGTCATTATTTAATCATTTTCATTGGATATCAGATAAAATATAGGATTATATGTGGCTTCCTAAGATACACTGAACAAATTTTAACTTATTACTGATGAACTAGAGCAGTGGTTCTTAACCAGGAGCGATCTTTCCTGAGTGGACATTTGGCGAACATTTTTGGTTGTTACAACTGGGCAGGTGTGTACGTGTGTGTGTGTGTGTGTATTACTGGAATCTGGTGGGTAGAGGCCATGGATGCCCCTTAACAGGCTAGGATGCAGAGGACAGCTCCCCTACATCAAAGAATTATCCTATCTAAAATGCCAATAGTGGGCGCCTGGGTGGCTCAGCTGGTTAAGCGACTGCCTTCGGCTCAGGTCATGATCCTGGAGTCCCGGGATCGAGTCCCACATCGGGCTCCCTGCTCAGCGGGGGGTCTGCTTCTGCCTCTGACCCTCCCCCCTCTCATGCTCTCTCTCTCTCATTCCCTCTGTCTCAAATAAATAAATAAAATCTTAAAAAATAAAAAATAAATAAATAAATAAAATGCCAATAGTGCTCAAATTGAGGAAACGTGATCCAGAGGTTAATCACTCTTAGTTTGCTATAACACAATACTTCCATGGAAAACTTTTTTTTTTAAATTAAAGATTGTATTTATTTTATTTTAGAGAGCGAGAGAGAGTGAGTGTGCAGGGGGAGGGGCAGAGGGAGAGAATCTCAAGTGGACTTCAGATCAAGACCTGAGCCGGACACTTAACTGACTGAGCCATCCAGGTGCCCCTCCATGGAAACTTTTACTCTTAGATATGATTGTTCCACGGATGATTTCTGAGTGGGTCTGCTTTTTTGTTGTTGTTGTTTTAAAGTAGGCTCCATTCCCAGCGCGGAGCCCAATGTGGGGCTTGAACTCATGACTGCAATTCAAGACCTAAGCTGAAACAGTCGGATGCTTAACTGACTGAGCCACCCAGGCATCCCTGCTTTTTTGTTTTTCTTAAGTTCCCATTTCTACACAATGAGCACAATAACCTCACATGTAATGATTATAGAAACACATGTGACAATGTATAAAACAATCACAAGTCCACTGCAAATGCTCAATAAACTTTAAATGCCTAGGTGTCTCAACTCCTACAGGGTGACGAGTTACAATGTAATGTATAAGGAAAGAGTCTTGAAACTAGACAATCATTCTACTGACATTATGCACACAGTAAAATTAGACTAGCTCAGATATATACATTTTAATGGCATTTTAAATTTGAGATTTTTTTTCCATTTGTAATGATATTCAGAAAAATACTGCCCCTTTCTTAATTCAGATTTTCAAAACAAGAGGAAGGAGGCTATAAACATAGGCTCTGAAGTTGAGACTCCTGTCTTTGAATTCCAGGTTAATCATTTACTAGTTGTGCCCCCTCCTATGACTTAGTTTCCTCACTTGTAAAATGGAGATAACTCATCCTCCCTTTGTAGGCATGTGATGAATATAACAAGTCAAGGTCGTGGTACAGTATCAGACTTGCAGTAAAAGATCTGGAACAGAAGTCATCATTACTATACTCTTCTGTCCCTGCTCCAAGAACCTCTCATTCTCCCAATTCAACCCCACTCAGCACTGTCATCCTTTTCAGATTATGAGATCCTTCTAAAAAGAGCCTATCCCCGGGGCCTGGCACATGGTAGGCTGTCAAAACTGTGCTGAATGATAAGTGGAGAAATGGAAGGCGTGACTTCAGAGTATCAAATGTACTTTAGATAATCAAAGCAAAAAGTCATTGCTACACTTCACTATTTTTTCTATTGTGGTTTAAAAAAAAATAAAAATAAAAATGATATAGTTTATCCTTCCAAACAATCATTTACCCATTCTGGAATGTACTAATGAACACCTACTTCAGGCAAAACAAACTTCCTTTGTTCAGGGTGAATCTTAAATCTTTGTGATTTGGGGCTATATTTTAAGATTTTTTTTTAAATAAGACTTTTAATAATTAAACCTATTTGGGTTCAAAATAGGTTATTTCACAAATTCTGTCCTCATAAGTTGTATAAAAGCTGAAATAATGAGGGCATCAAGCAACCTATGAAACTTTAATGACACAATCTATTTAATCTCTCTATTAACAGCTACATTTGAGTAAATTAATTCTTCTTTTATTTGATCACTTACATGAAATTTGACCATAGACAGTGAATAATCACTACAGGGTTCAAATTCAGCTTTCATGTATTTCAAATACTGAGCGACTTTCTCATAAGGCCTGCCTAAGAATCGTTAGTCCAGCAAGATTTTCTCAGGGCTTTTAATACACTGATAAAAATTCTAATTATTAGTTCCTGGATGTTCTCTTTCAATGACTGCTAAGGCACAAAATAGATATCATTTATAAATTGCTCCATAAATCAGCTATTTGCACATACTATTTGTTTTTTTATAGGCAATCAATATCATACAACAATTTCATATTTTAAAATTTCAAAAGGTTTACAAATTCTTCAATGGCCAAGACTGGATTTTCATTTATAGGGACATTCTTTGTATTGCAGAGCAGAAAAGCACCAGGCATTGAAAAAGAAACAAACCCGTTCTGGTTCTTGAATGGGGTGGCAATTACAGATACTTTTTATAGTTATTTGTTAAGCTGCACATATGTTTTACATTCTGTGTATGTATGTTATATCTCACAATACAACATATTTCTTAAACAAAATGCTTATAGGTTGAAATACTTTTAAATATAGGAAGAATAAACCCTAATAGAGTATTAAAGGAATTCATTCTTACAATATGTACAATAAATAACTTAGGAGACATTTAGCCAAGAGAAATCAGCAAATTTTCCACTTGAGAAAGTTTCCAAATTATGAATTAAAAATTTCCCAATTATTTGAGCAAAATCAATAGAGGTCCAACAGAAAAACAGGTATAGAATTCAGTCCATTTTCGCCAGTATACGAATGGGGCAAAAATGCCACATATAAAAGATAACCCAAAAAATTTTTTTTTTTTTTTTTTTTTTTAGATTTTATTTATTTATTTGAGACAGAGAGAATGAGAAAGAGAGCACATGAGAGGGGGGAGGGTCCGAGGGAGAAGCAGACTCCCTGCCGAGCAGGGAGCCCGATGCGGGACTCGATCCCGGGACTCCAGGATCATGACCTGAGCCGAAGGCAGTCGCTTAACCAACTGAGCCACCCAGGCGCCCCAAGATAACCCAAAATTTGATATGGTCATGACAAGGCAATTAATGGAAGTAAACAAAGAAACACACACACACACACACGCACTCAGGCACACATACACACACTTACCAAGACAGTTGCAGGTTGGCAATTCAGAATCTTTTGTTGTGGACACCAGGTTTTTTGTAGGATTGGTAAAGAAGTTCATGGCATAATCATTAAAACTTTTCTGTGCACTGTCTACTGGGGAAAATTCTGAAGCTCCAACACTAGATGAACAGATGTCCTCTTCACTCTTGGTAGAAACCACTGTAATTCCACCTGAACATACTACATCGACATTCCTGAGAATTTGTGCTGGGTCTGGTAAGGGGGTTTCATGAGAGATACCAGGCAATGTTGGCAGTTTCTGATGCATGAGTTGGTCTTTAACATCCCGCGGGAACTGTGTTTGGTCATCACTGGCCATGACATTAGCACACTGGTTAGTTGGAGGGGAGAGCTGGAGTAAAGGATGAGCTTTCTGATTGACATTCACTGTTGGCTGTACCTGAGAATTATCAACTTTTTCTGTAAACGCCTGTCCATTGGATTCTGTTTTTAACTGGCATAATGGGAGAGAATCCAACGGTTCAACCTTCATGTTTCTTTCCTGTGCTAATTCTGGATAATAACGCTCAAATTTTATCTGAGTGAGTGGAGGAAATAATTTTTTGTGTTCTAATGCTGAACTCGTTTGAGTCAGTGGTTTCCATACTTTGGTTAGGGGAGGAATTTTTCCCAAGAGAATGGGAAAGTCGTGTGGACCAAACTGACCAAATCTTTGAAACTTAGATGCTATCCAAATGTCATGTAACTTACTATACTCATATGACAACTGTTCCTGCTTTTTCCGGTCATTTTCTTGACAACTTATGACTATAGGCTTCTTTTTCCGCCGATCTCTCGATGGGGTAGCTCTTGTCTTTTTCTGTGTTGTGTTCTTTTGCTTTGTCAATGATGAGCTATGATTATTTTGTACACTGGAAGGTGCTTTCTGTTGTACTGCGACCTTCTCCTGACTACATTTTTGCTGTGCGTTATATGCAACAAGGCTTGTTCGTGTACTTTCAACCTTTTTGTCCTCTTGTTTTATGTAATTGAATTTAATTATTGATGCAAGTTGTGTTAACTGGGTTGCAACGTCTTCCTCTATTTTGCTGTGTATTGTATTTAGACACGACGGATCGTCTTTTAAGTCTATCTTTTTACTGTTGGCCAGGGACTGGTTACAGTATCCCAATTTATCACTAGATGGTGGCAAATGGTGCAAATTCTTAGCATTATCAAGAGTGATTCTACCTTGAGCAACATTTTTATTGGTGTCAATTTTAGGTGAATTTGAATTTGGTATGAAAAGAGATACCGAATTTGTGACTTTTGAATATTCCTGTGACTTTGTAGGTGACTGGTTAGCAGCTGAGTTGTTGTGTGACTTGGAAATGTTTTGGCCATTGAATACCACCGTGTCACATGAACTCTGCTTTTCCAAAGATGGATGGTGACGAAGGCTTTCTGGCTCCCCTTGTAAGTTTTGGTCTTGGAGGTCTTTTCTTACAGAATAGAGGATAGCTTTACAGCTATTAAGCAAACTCGCTGTTCTGTGTTCTGTTTCTTCATCCTTCTCTGACTTTGATGGTGAGGAATTTTCTGATGGGGCTTCTGACAGTTGGGTCAGAGCTTCTATAGCCACCACTTGTTCCAGTGTTAATCTCCTATCTTTCATTAGGGATAGAAGACTTGGTTGAACTGGAGATCCACCTTTCAGTTCTTTACTTGGTATATTTTCTAGAGATTTTGGTTCATCACTTTCATTGTGTGTACTAGTATGACTATTTAAGTGGAACGTTGCAGGATCTGGAAAAGACTTGCAGTTAAAGCCAGATTTCTGGAAGACTGAAACATTATTTCTCCCTTTGAGATGATCACAGCTCGTACTAGTGGCAATGGAACTCATGGCATTATGGTTGGCAGTGTCTTTCAGGAATTTATAGGACTTGTTTTCAAATGCCTTGCCAAATTCTTCAATATTGAATTTTTTAAAAGACACATTTGTTTCGGTTGGTAAATAGTGTACATTTTTAATGCCGTTTCTTACGGTTTGTGCAAACAATTTCTGAGGCTCAATTAAGTCAGTAAGTAGGACTTTTTTCCTGTCATCTTCAGAATTTTTTAATTTTTCAGCTTCTGTCACAATTGCCTTAAATTCGCCTTTGACATGATCGGTTAAATGTGATTTCTTGTGCTGCGTCCACTTCTCCACTTCAATACCTGTCATACTTTCTTCATTTTTAGCTACATTTTCGAGGGGAGGTGGGTTTAATTCCAATCTCTGTTCCCCCCCATAGCTCCTCCTGTATTCCATGGATTCTGACTTGGGGCCATTTACTGGTTTGTTGACAAAATATGCCTACAAAACAAGCACAGAAATATCTCATATTATCTATGCAAATATTGGAATAAGAGCCACAGGAACTTTACAATTTAACATGAGTGAAATGTAAAGCCCCTGAAAAAAATATTACTTTTGCTTTTTACTTTTCTTTTTTTAAAGATTTTATTTATTTATTTGACAGAGAGATAGAGAGAGAGCACAAGTAGGCAGAGTGGCAGGCAGAGGGAGAGGGAGAGGGAGAAGCAGACTCCCCGCTGAGCAGGGAGCCGAACGTGGGGCTCGATCCCAGGACCCCAGGATCATGACCTGAGCCGAAGGCAGCGGCTTAAACGACTGAGCCACCCAGGCGCCCCTGCTTTTTACTTTTCAATAAAATACCAAAAGGGGTGTGTAGCGAAAAAGAAAAAAATTAAAGTACAAATATCATTAACTCATACCTGTAAATATTTTGGTATACTTATTTGCTTTTCAAAATAATTTTTTTTTTTTTTAAGAGAGAGAGCAAGGAAGTGTAAGGGGGTGGGTGGCGGGGTTGTGAGGGGCAGAAGGAGAGAGAGAATCTTAAGCAGGCTCCATGCTCAGTGCAGAGCCCAGTGCAGGTCCAATCTTATGACCCCGAGATCATGACCTGAGCCAAAATCAAGAGTCTGGACATTTAACTGACTAAGCTACCCAGGTGCCCCTCCAAATAAATCTTTAAAATATTTTTACATTGGTACCATTCGATGGGCAATATCTATTATCTTAATGCAAACTGTACTGAAATACAAAATACACACAGAAAAGTGAACAAATCCTAAGTATATAGCTTACTGAATTTTCATAAATGAACCCCCCAAGTGCCCAGATTCCAGCCAAGAAACTCCTGTATAGTCATCATTCTACTGCCAAAGGGTAACCATTATTTTGACATCTATCATAGATTTCTTTTGCTTATTTCCAAACTACATAGCTGACTTCCTTTCACTCAAAATTATACTTGTGATTCATCCATGTTGCAGTCCATTGATTCTTACTGTTGTATAGTAATTCACTGAATGAAAATACTACAATGTATTTATTGATTGTACCATAGATGGACATTTGAGTTATTTTTGGTTGTATACCAGTATAAATATTACTGTAATCTTGTGGTGAACATATAATATATACACATTGGGTGGAGTGGAAGTGCTGGGTTATCAAGTGTGTGTGTATGTGTATGTTAACTTCGGCTTTAGTAGACAGGCCAAAGAATTTTTTAAAGTGGTTATCAACATACACTCCCACGAGTAATTATGATAGCTCTAACTGTTGCACATTCTTATTAGCAGTTAGTATTTTCTGTCTTTTCACTTACGCCATTGTGTTTAGTGGGAATGATATAATTCCTTTAAAAAAAATTTTAGATCAAATGCCTACAAAATAAAATTAATCATTTTACCATTTAAAATCGTAAAATTCAGTGGTTTTTAAGCATATTTACAATGTTATGCAATAATCACCTCTATCTAATTCCAGAACATTTTCATCACCCCTAAAAGAAACCTTGTACCTATTAAGCAATCACTCTCTATTTCCCCTACTAATCCCTATTTTTATTTTATTTTTTTATTTTTAATTTTTAAATTTTTTTTTAAAAGATTTTATTTATTTATTTGACAGAGAGAGTGAGAGAGCACAAGCCGGGGGGAGCAGTAGAGGGAGAAGGAGAGGGAGAGGGAGAAGCAGGCTCCCCACCAAGCAGAGAGCCCGATGCGGAACTCGATCCCAGGATCCTGGGATCACGACCTGAGCCAAAGTCAGACGCCCAACCATCTGAGCCACCCAGGTGCCCCTAATCCCTATTTTTAAAACCCAACATATAAAAATAAATAAATAAATAAAACCCAACAGCTCATCTAAAATTACGACATAGGAATTGAGACAGTAGGGGCATTTCCAACTGCTGTCAGGAGCGAATGTAAAGATAACCTCCACTCCTAATCTTTAGTATGGCTCTGGACATTCTATTCAATGCCTCAGGGAGAGAAAAATATAAGATTAGGAGACTTCTTATTGAATGAAGGTGATATACCTGAGTCTATAGAAAAACCAGGAGTACTGACTGAAAAACTAAATCAAAGTTCAGAATAGCTATAAAATATGTAAGTATTACCCAATTGTATAATTAAACATTAAACAATCTTTTCTTTCACATTAAACAATCTTAGTAGAAATAGGGGTGCCTGGGTGGCTCAGTCAGATAAGCGCCTGCCATCGGTTCAGGTCATGGTCCCAGGGTCCTGGGATCGAGCCCCACATCAGGCTCCCTGCTCAGCGGGGAGCCTGCTTCTCCCTCTCCCTCTGCTGCTCCCCCTGCTTGTGCTCTCTCTGTCAAATAAATAAACTCTTAAAAAAAAAAAGCTTAGTAGAAATAAACTGTATTTAATTTCTTGATCAGGGCACATAGGTTACACAGGTTATGTTTAGTTTGTCAAAATTTATCAAAATATACAATTATCACACATATATTTTCTATATGTATATTACATTTCTATAGTAACTTTAAAAAATTAATCTAAAAAAACTAAATTTCTTAACGTACAGGGTAATAAGTTAACAGATAAACTTGAAAATATTTAACAATTTATTATTAAAATTATGGGATTTCTAAGCAGTGGAGAAAAGTATCAATTTCTTAAAAATGACAGGGGGAGGGTGCCTGGGTGGCTCAGTCGGTTAAGCGACTGCCTTCGGCTCAGGTCATGATCCTGGAGTCCCAGGATCGAGTCCCGCATCGGGCTCCCTGCTCAGCGGGGAGTCTGCTTCTCCCTCTGACCCTCCTCCCTCTCGTGGTCTCTGTCTCTCATTCTCTCTCACAAATAAATAAATAATAAAATCTTTAAAAAAAAAAAAAAGACGGGGAAATTTGATCCCATCTCATAATATGTACTATAAATTCCAGATATATTAATAATTTAAATACAAAAAATAAAATGTAGAAAGCAGGGAAAATATTCCCAAGCAAGAGTAGAAAATGAGAAGCCATAAAGGAAAAAAGTATTTTCAATACATATGATATGAACAATTTTTTTTTACAATTTTATTTATTTATTTGGCAGAGAAAGAGACAGCGAGAGAGGGAACACAAGCAGGGGGAGTGGGAGTGGGAGTGGGAGAAGCAGGCTCCCTTCCCACTGAGCAGGGAGCCCATTACGGGACTTGATCCCAGGGCCTTGGGACTACGACCCGAGCCAAAGGCAAACGCTTAACAAATGAGCCACCCAGGCACCCCTATATGAACAATTTTTAAAGCAAAGTCACCATAACATAGTTCTTTGCAAACTGATCACACTCTACAAGGTCCAATACCAATTTAGTGCTTTGTAACAAGTGCTTTTTCTTAATGGAATAGTACAGAAAAATACAAGTGCACTACATTTAATAAAAATAAGTATTACAATATAAATCTTTTTTCAAAATTTTTATTTATTTAAGAAATCTCTACACCCAGAGGCACCTGGGTGGCTCAGTCATTAAGCGTCTGCCTTCGGCTCAGGTCATGATCCCAGGGTCCTGGAATCAAGCCCCACATCGGGCAACCTGCTCGGCCGGAAGCCTGCTTCTCCCTCTCCCACTGCCCCCTGCTTGTGCTCCCTCTCTCGCTGTGTCTCTCTCTGTCAAATAAATAAATAAAATCTTAAAAAAAAAAAAAGACATCTCTACACCCAATGTGGGGCTTGACCTCACAACCCAAGATCAAGAGTTGGATGCTTTTCTGACCTAGCCAGCAAGGCAACCCTACAATGTAACTCCTTTATGTAATGTGTTTGTATGTGTCTGTGCACTGAATCAGGATGTAAAATGTACTTATTTCTTCATATATATAGTTGTCAAAAACCGTAGGAGAAATACTGCCATTAAAAAAAATAAAAAGTCAAAGGACAGTCTAGGAAAATATTCATACTACATGTAAATAGTTACTATTCTTGATGTAAAAGAGCTTCCACAATCAACAAGAAAAGTAAGTCACTCAACAGGAGAGTGAGAAAAAGACAGGAATATGTACTTTGCTTAAGTGGAAATCCGCAGGATCAAAAGTTGTTTGACTTTCCTAGAAGACAAGGAAATGAAAATAAATGCAACTTTTAATCCACCCAAATGCCAAAACTAAAAATGCAGAAATGTAGGTAAGCAAATTATAATGCAATATAACATTTATACTAGAGAAAGTATGAAATAAACAAACTCATATTCATATTGTGAAATAATGTGCAGCCATTACTTGTATGTATCAAGCTAGTGACTGCACGGCAAGAGTTCCTAAATAAACAAGCTGCTGAAAGCTGGCAGGTAAAACATTAATACCAGTTACCACTGGGAAACAGAAGTGAGGAAAAGAGAAGCTCTGTTTGTTTTACTCGATGCTTTTAATTTTACAAATATGCATATCTAAGATACCGGGACTTCAATGTACACATTCCTCTAAAGAGAAGATCCTGAGTACATTTTAAGATTTATGTGCCACAAACATAGGACATTCTCATTAACTAATGAGCTTAATTAAAAACTGACCCTTATCATTCAGTTATATCTCATATATAGGTTCCTAAATAAACAATGCGAGTCCAGCATTGGGCTCCCTCCTCAGCGGGGAGCCTGCTTCTCCCTCTCCCGCCCAATGCGGGACTCGATCCCAGGACCCCGGGATCATGACCTGAGCCGAAGGCAGATACTTAAACTACTGAGCCACCCAGGCGCCCGTATTACTGTTAATATTAACCACTAAGATGGGGAAAGAGCAATCCTTCGGAGTTGCCTGATCCAGGAGATGCCACATAGCCTGAATTTTAGTGTCCTCCTTTTTTAAGATGTCATGTAGATTGTGATGGGGATTCAGTGAGACCATATGACCAAAGTTGTTAGCACAGTGAGGATGAGGTATTACTAAGAGAGAATACTAACAATCTTTTTTAGAGAGGGAGGGAGATAGGGAGGGGGCAGAGGGAACCTTCAGCAGGCTCCACACCCCGCACCAAGCAAGATGTGGGGCT